TTTTTTGTTGTTTTAATTGTTTTAATAAATTTTCTTCTTGTATAAAATATATTATTATATCATCATTAATACCATTAAATGATGATTTTTGTGTTGCTTCATTATGTATAGAACCATTTGGATTACGTATTAAACGTCGTCGTCGTCTTAAATCATCTTCCCATGGATCTAATTTTCAAAATAATCTTGAACTATTTAAATAAACTGTTTTTTCATTAATCATCATCATTAAAAATTTTTCTTGTAAACGTAATGCTATAACTTGGTGTCATTGTCTTGCTGCTGGTATAAAATGTTCACATAATTGTTCTTCTGATTTACGTTCAACAGTTGTTTGTGCTGATAATTGTTCAAATTCACTTGCTTTACGTATATCATCAGCACGCATACGATTAAGTATAAAATCAGCTTCATTAGCTACTTTAACAACATGATCTTTACTTGCATGTGATAATAAACGTCCTTCATTAACTCATTCAATAAAAGCTAAACCAGCATGTTTCTAAAACCAAAAACAAAATGTATGAAAAAGTTTTTAGATAACAAGATAAATTCTTAGATTTGAATATTTATTATGTGAAGAGAATTTTGCCATTCTTGTGAACATAAAAGCATAACAAGTTCAACAACTGATGCTGTTTGTTTAAGTGCATGTAAACCATTAGGTAATAATTCTTGTCCATGTGAACCAACTAATGTTTTTGTAAGTATATGTGAAAATTCTATAAATATATCACGTAAAAATGGTGCTATATTCGATAATGCTCGTTCTAATTTTTCTGTTATATTCATTGATGATTCATTTGAATTAAAATTTGCTCTTGGATAATCGGGAAGTTTTGATTCAGTTAATTGATTTTTATTTATTGTTGTTGAATCACTAGTAGGAATACTAGCAATACTTGCTAGAAAAAAAATGTTATGGTTACTTCTCTACATCATATATACCGTATTGAGTAGCTGTAGCACTTCTATTATTTATATCGATTGAATTTTTATTAGTCGATTGTAAATTTATTTTATTAACTTCATTATTATCATCAATAACTGTTGATTCATCATTATTCTTCTACAAAATACACAATTTTTTAAACTTCCCCCCCCCCCCAAAATTATTTTAATAAAATTCATACTTGATTATTTGTAATCGATGTTGAATCATTTATACTAACTGTATCTACATTTATCTCACTAGTCGAACCTAATAAAAAAAACAAAGTTTCTAACAAAGAAATAACAATCTACTTAGGGCA